ATTCTTTAAAGCATTGAGAACCCCTAACAGTAAACTGTTTGGGGAAAAAATGACAGGTCTGTCCCAGAAATCTTGCGAAAGTGGAGAGTTTCTACTTAGTGGTGAAGCCCCATGAAGCACACCCGAACCTCTTTCGGTACAACTCAACGCCTCCTGTCATCAGGCACCTCCTGCCCGCTCCTGCACGGCTCTGGCAATGAAAACGGTGGAGGTTCCTCGATAACCCATGTTGCCAAGATTCCTGCGCGAAATGGATTGAGAGTTGATAGCAACAAAAGACTCTTCTAGAACAAATCCCTGCAACTCAGCTGAATCAAAAAGCAAGATCCAAAAAAAAGTATCTTGAAGCACTGCAACTGCAGATTCCTTGGAGCTGTGGCCGGGTAAGCTTCTTGGATCTCGTCCCAAACGTGGCGATAGCCTGAAAGCTGAAAGCGGAGACCCGCCCCCTGGCGGATGCCCCAACCAGACTGCGCGCCCACCGAGCCCAAGACTGCACGACGCGCGGCACGCCGCGCGAGTCGGCGCGGCACCTGCGGTCCATCCTTCCACCGAGAGGTGCGCGCGCGTGGTCATGTCGGACCCACACCCGCGATCGGTGCCATTCGTCGGCATGCAGCACCCCGCGAGCGCATAGAAACCATCCACAGTGTTCGATCCAAACTTCTGGGTCACATTGTAGCCCAGCTTCTCCTCCACGAAAAGGTTGCGGTATGAAGGAATGACTAGAAAGCGAATCCTGAGGTCAAAATCCAGCCGTTTTCTCCATGTTCCGAGCTCGACAGCTCGCCCCATCCAATCGATTCCCCCCGGTCCTTGAGCAGAATGTCGACCACTTCCGCTGCGGCCAAGCCAGCCTCCCAGGTGTTGATCCAATGTCCAACGGGGTAAGACGATCCATCGCCATTCACCAGGTTCTTGCGCCTTAGAAGCAAACGGAGGATGCGGCAGATGCGACAGCTTTAAAGCTATATGGTTACCTCAAGTCACATAGCTGATGATGTCACCATTGCACCTTTTTGAAGCTGATGCGTTTTTTGGGGTGCATCTTTTCCCTGTGTTTGGATTTTCTGTTCGCAACGAAGAATCTGCAGAACTGTTGTTTCATTTTTTTGAGCCCAAACCGCTCTAAGACCCGTCATTAGTCCTGATGTCCAATTTGGTGGAAAATCTCTTGGACCCCATGGGTATTTGAAGATGGAGCTGTCCACAACGTCCGAAACGCGCAGCAAGACTGGTTGTCTTCACAGGGTGTTGAAAGTCCAGACTTCATCATTGGGGACTTCTACATTGGGAACGTCGAACCCTTCCGGACTGATCACGTTCTTCATCGCCGTCCACTGCACCCAAGCCACTCTCCCTCAGGGATATGATCGGAAAAGCAAGAAGCCGAAACTAGGCCGAACGAGGGCGCAGTGAGAAGCACCCAAAGAGGCACCATGGCTTTGCTAAACATTAGTTTGGCGTGCTGACTATGCCCAAAAAGACTGCGGAAAAAAATATAAGAAACACACACACACAGTTTCTGGCAAGTCAGCACCTTTGCAAGGAAGAAGAAAAGGCTGGCCGCGCTGGCCTCCCAAGCTAGAGTTTTCGACTTAGTCAACAAGTTCCACTCATTCTGGTCCCATGGTGTGCCAAATGGTTTCACCAGGCAGATGTTCCTTACCACAGTCGACTAATTTCAGTCGAGGAGACGTCCTTCCACTGAGTTGGTGGGTCCCGTGATCTTCGATGAGAGACTCCACCCAACAAGCAATGTTTCTGCCCGTCGGGAGACGTGCAGCAACAACAAGTTGGGAAAGTGATCCTTTTTTCCTGAAACAGACTCACAGTTTTGAGAAGGGCCAAAGAATTCGTTTTGGGACGTCTGAAGCAAGTCGTCCGACCGACGTTGGCCACGCCAAGATTCTCGGGTCCCAAACTGGAGGTCCGGAAGGCGTTCGACCGACGCCGCTTAGACATTCGCAAAAAAGCAAGTGTGACCACTGTGACCACCAAAAAGAGCACCCAGGGCACAAAATGGCTTGTCTTGGTGTCTTGGTGGGTAGAATTGTTCAGCCCCTGGTTTCTTGGTGCGAAAACCTTGCTTTTTTGGAGGCCATATCACATCATATGCCCGACATTAGGAGATCCACGGGTTGATTCAAGAAACTCTTACAATCCTGCGCCAAAACAAAGCGGCAAAGGACAACAATACATACAGAGCCCCCTTGCTTACAAGCACAAAAGCCGATGCGGCGATGTTCTTGGGTTCCGGGCGTTGGAGGCTCCTTTATGCAAACTGAACGTTCTGAATGGGCATGCAAGTCGATCTCAGGAGCTATCTCTAACAACACAAAGTGCCAATGGCAGATGAGACCTGGGACTTTGTTTTGGACAGCATTGGAAACAAAGAACTGATTGATGGCGACACGTCTTCTTCTTCTTCGTCTGAAGAAGGTGACAAAACAATTTCCTGAACTGAAAAGCCTGCAAAACCCCAATGCAGAAAACAAGGTGGCGGATATTACAAACAGAAAGCCAAGCGATGAAAACGACAAAGTTTTGCCAAGAAAAATCCAAGCAAACTTGTGTACGCGATATTTGCGGTTCTGACATAAGCTGCAAGTCAAACTTTACAAAACACAAGAAAACAAAGAAGTGCCAAAGGCTTTTGGAGTGAACTCAACTCAATATGACTTTATCATACAAGAAAATATCATAAAACTATATATATAACTTAAAAATGTCTAATGACTAGATTGGAAAAAAGAAGCTGATATATATAGGAAGAATATGCTACCACGCTGAGGAGGGCCCTGGTCTGGTGAGGGACTTACACCAAAAAGCTAGGCAAGTCAATGTAGGCATGACTTATGGTTTGAAAATGAATGCGGGCACAACCGTACAAGCAATCAAGAAACTACAAGAACTACAATTCTTACACTGCTGCATTTCCTAAATATAAAATTGGATTTGAAATTGACGTTAACAGTTTGTTGAAAGATGTGGGTTCAAGAAATCAATCAACAGTCAATTGCGTTTTGGATTGGTCTGCTAAGAAATGCCATATGGCCACATATTTGCTGTCGCGTTCAAAACAGACATGGAATCCTTCAAGGCATTGGGCAGCCTTTGAACACATGCAAGGATGAAAAACAAACGAACCACGCGCCGGCTATTTTCTAAACACAGCTTGGGCCACTGTAAGCCCGGTTGAACATGTGCTCGTGACAACTACAAGGTGAAAACTGCCAACATTCCATACTTGAATGGCCTCATAGAGATGCATGCTAAAGGAAAGGATAAAGTTTTCATGAAGGTCGAAGAAAACACTAAGGTGCAGCAACGATGGCAACATAGGGCAAAAGATTCCTTTCAAAACTTGGTGCGAGTGGACATTGTGCAGTCGTCCAAGCTGGAAATTCCAATCTGTCACCCAGCTGCCAGTCAACGTGCAAGTCCATGTTCTGTCCATCTCTTGCGACTGTTTCTGGTTCTGTCCTCAGGTTCTGTGGGCTTCTGCCACATCCTGGTCTTGGGTTCGCTTCATGCACTTGCGATCAGGGTGCCATTCTCCAATGCCAGCAGCTACGCTTGCTCGCATGATCAGTCCGACTTCATGAGATCCACATGCTTGCCCACTGATCACGATCACGGCGCTGGCATTCTCTCCCTTTTTTTTGCACGGGTGGAGCCGCCATTCATGCAGGAAATGCATAGGTCAGCTTGTGCTGTTTTGGAAAGAGTCTCTTGCATGAAGTGCCAAACAACAAACAGCACACAAACACAAAACACGACCAAACAACGACCAACCAGGGAAAGAAAGCAAGAGACTCTTGAGTATAGATGCAAGGTGAAGCAGGTGTGAGACATAAATCGGGCGTTGAATTAGTGCAAAAAGGCTGTATGAAAAGCCTGGAGCCAAGTCGAAATTGCTGACACTAATAGGCCTGGACGTGTTGACCACCTTGTGAGCGAGAGAAGCAGGTCTCATGCCCGGGATGTTGCTTTGTGCTTGCGAAAAGGCGTGGGTAATCAGATCAAACCAAATTTGACCTGCAGGTCAGGGGAGATGATTGTTATTTTGGGTACGTTTCAGTCCTCTTATGCTCAAATTGCATGACTTTGGAAAACTACTGGTGACAAATCGGCTCTAACGCGCCAAACGAAAGGGCAGTCCATTGCCATCAGTGCGGCCCATCGTAGCTGTTCAGAAAACTTGGCTGTCACTGAGATGGAGGTGGCTACAGTCAATGAAATGAACGAGAGGGCAGGAGTGATGGTGCTTCTTGCCGTCTCGCAGTCACGCACCTCCCCCCCCGCAGAGGGAGGGGGGTGATGCTGTCTCACTGTGGTGCCCCTCTTTTTTTGCACGGGTGGAGACGCCATGTGTGCAGAGAATGCACAAGTCATCTTGTGCTACTTGTGAGTGTCTTCGGCCAGGAAAAGAAAACCAAACAAAACAACACCACCTCAACAAACAACAAGCCAAAGAAACCCAGCCCGTCACAAGACTCAAGTGGGTCGCGCAGAGGTGAAACGAAGAGAGATTCTGTGAAAACACGGAAGCAGTGGCGTCCCCTTTTTGAATCCCGCTCTTGAGCCAAACGTTACAGTCGGTTTGACTGTCTCTCCGTTCATCCACTCTTCTTCTGAAGAGGTCTGACTGGTCACAGTCGTCCAAAACATACTCAAAGTAAAGGAAAGCATCTCAAAACACTCTCAAGCAAACCTAAACTATGCACAGCTCATCTCAAGCATTGCAGCTCTCTACATAGGGCTTCTCCAGACATGCTCCTAGCCACTTCTGGTCACATTCCACTCAGTCCTGCTAACCCCAAGGACAGAAAAACGAAAAGATCCACTACAAGGAGGTACTAGGTGATCCACACACTGTACAGGCGTGCTACCCACACTTTTTACACCCCTTCTTGGGTCACCTCGTACCTTCTCCTGGTTCTTCCTGTCTTCTTCTCTTCAATTTGTTTTCTCTGAGCCACTAAGGTTCGAGCATCAACTAAGATCTCAACTCCTGCTTTCCAAAATGGTCTCCAGGTCGATCAAACGTCAACAAACTCCAGTCAGCAAGTATCAAACAAGCTCCAACTCAATCGACCAAGGTTCAACCAAGCAAGACAACAACAAAACTGGCCAAGATCCCTCAGAAGGCATGGCCTTAGTAGTGATGACTCCTGGCTCATGCATGGCTTTCGGCGCGGCCACTTGGCCCCTGCACCCGTGGCGGCTGCTGCTGGAGCGGTCGCAGGAGCCGGACTCAATGGCTGACTTATTGGCGGCATCTGGTCCATCAGAGATCTGCTCAAATGAGCTTCCATCCCTTCAAGTGTCTCTGAATTGGGTTCACTCATTTTGAAGGCTTTTAAGACTCCACGGCTTGCAAGAGGCTTATGGATAGGACCAGGTCCTTATTGCCATGTTTCCGCTCTTGCCACTTCCACTCAGCTGCCACGCAATGTGTGTTGCAGCGGACGACCTTGTTTGTTCTGGTCGTCTACCTGCATCCTGGTGCTGCATTCCAGCACAGCAGCCGCCAGCTCGATCAATGTACAGTCTGGCCACAGTTTTGGGGGGCTACCTTGTGCTGGTCTCTTGTTGACTTCTGGAATCCACTTTGGGTCCCACGCTCCTTCGCGAGCCCAGGTTGGTCTGGTATCCTTTGTTTCGAGGGACTGTCGAACACTCGGTGTGGAAAGAGGTGCGCCGCCGGCTGCGCCAGGTGTTCGAGGGTTGTTGTCGAGCCACGGGCCTCCCTTTTCGCTCGCTGGCATTTTCCAGCTGGGCTTTTGAGGTGGCGCCCGTTATGTCTCTTAGTGAGTGGGAAGGGTGCCGACGAAGATCCACATCCAGAGTTCTCATCATGACCAATGAAAAACAAACTGAACTGCATTTATCGTTTGCTTTGGAAAGGATCTGCAGCATCATGTCAATGCACTCAGAGTTAACATTGTAATCTGCAAACAATGCATGGATTGGGAGGGCCCTGTCATGCTTGGCGCTTCCTGTGTTCATGCCAGGATCTTGTGGCCAACTTCCAATGTCGAGAAGGACGTGATCGGAGAATCACTGATGCCTCCATTGGGTGGCCATAACTTTCAACAAATTGCCTGCCAACAGTGTCTAAACCTTTCGCTGCAAGTGAGCTCGGTGAGAACCTCAGTTTCGTCTGGGGAAGTCTGCACTTTGCCAATCTTGGCGCAAAGTACCATGCTAGGAACATTTCGGTTTCACATGTTTCACCAGGTCCATGCAGGTCCAAGTGGCAAGTGCGCCACACCAAAGCGACTGCCCTCTCCAAAGGAGAGAAGTGTCAGCTGGGTCGTCACTGCTCAGAGACCAACATGCCCACATTTGTGCAACAGGCTGCACGCTGCAAGAACTCTGCCTTTCCCGCAATTTGAGGATCAAGTGAAATGTGCAAACATTGAGTTAGTATGG